GTGTTGTGTTTTTCATCAATCTATGTTGGTCTTCTGATTTTACAAAGTAGTAGTAGACTTTCTTGTTAGTTTAGTTTCTAGGGAGATTTGAGACTTCACTTTATAATGAAATTATATACATTTGGGTTCATTAAAATACAATCACTAGTTACATTTATACATGTACACCAAAAGACTTTTTAATACTGGATTACTTCCTCACTCTGCTCACCCATGGTGTAGGTGATGACCGAATCACATGAATCTTAACATCCTTTGGCATGCTTAATTTCTTTGCCTTTACTTCGTGTGATAATTGAATCATTCCACGTAAGAGGCCTCTAAATAAACAAATAGTTTGCTCTAATAATTATATTCAGAGTTTCAATATAATATTATGATCACATATAATATACAGACTAATAATAGCCAAAATCAATTGAACTACAGAAACTTTAATTCCTTCCAATACTGTGGATAAATTTTGGAAGATTGGGGTTGTGGTTCTTACATCATATCAATTTGTAAGCAAATATCTAATATCATAAAGCTTACAAGGTTTAACATGCTATAGTCAGCATGTTTAACACACAACTGGATCCTTTACTTAAGATAGGTGTATTCATTCCTTGCAAAAGCGTAAGACGGGGGGAAGGCCTACCATGAATTGTTGGTGGAAAACTTCCAAGAGTAAGATTGTCAAATTCAAGGGACTCAATGAAGTACTTTCCAATGTATTGGTCAAATGTTGTCCTCGTTGAGCTTCTTATTCTATTGCATATTGCCTGTTTAAGATCCACAGAGCAAATAAAAAATCAGCACATTGATTATAAGAAAAATATCAACCTAAGCTGAGGAATAAAAATATGAGAATGCTAGATGAGAACTCTATAAATAATAAAATAAACGAGGAAGAGGACAACCTTATTTAAGCAAGGCCACATATCAAAAATGAATTTATTCAACCAATCAACCTGCAAGAGAAACAAAATAGTAAAATAAGAATAATTTCCTCATGTCAAAAATGCCAAACTTCCATAAAATGAAGAATCTGAAATTTTTATATGTGACGTTATTTTCATCAAAGAAATCACCATCGTCTTAACATTTATCCTAACTCTTTTATGGCACCAAAAAATAGGGCATAACTAGCACATGTTGCGTAAGAGAAGACTTGATGTATGCGTCCTTATTCCCACATTGTAGAGGTACTATTTAAGTGTTCAAACAAAGAATAGAAGCAACTAAAGTGTGTTATACTAATTTAAATTTAGAAGACAAGATTTCCCTTTAATTTTCAATTTATTATAATGTAGGCAGAAGTGCCAAAAACATTTTTCCTATTAAAAATTTTAAGTGTATGTTAGACACATGATGTCCACATTTTTTATGCACTTTCAACACAGTTTTTTGGTATGCAACATATCATCTCTCTTAAAATAGTTATTAATGATCCCACATTTCATATTCTAGAGATTTCCTTGAGAATCCTTGACTGCAAAAGTTCTAGCTTATATGTTATACAACATTTGATTTTAAAACCAGAAACAAAGAATTACCACAACTGATTCTATACAAGGAAATAATACTCCGACAGCTTTTATCTATATGAAGGTTAATCAATAAAAAATCCTCATAAAATCCAAACACGTAAACCTAAAATTTCATTAAGGACAAATCAAGACTACCATAAGAATTACAATAAAGTTGATTAAAAAGAAAGATAAAAACACTTCCTATGATTTTTCTTTAATATTGTTGCGCAAATTAACTGAACTGAATGAATTAGTACCAACAACATGAAAAAGTAAACGCAAGGCTTCAGATTACTGAAAGTGAAAGGAAGGCAAATCATCAAATCAGCAGAAACAAAAAAACCAAGAAAACTTACTCTATCATAATCAGGATTCTTCAACCATGCTGGAATCTCAAGTATGAAATCATGCAAGCTCTCCGAATCTAGCTCGGTCAGAGGTCTAATAATGGGTTCCTGCTTTGAAAATGAAGAAAAGGGAAAAACCATCATCCAAGAAGGGCTAAAATGGACAAAATTTAAATAGCTTTGTTGTCAGTATTTGATGATGATACACAAAATGATCAAATCCCGCACAGAAAATAAAATTCTTATTCTTGTCCAAAAAAGATATATATACAATTAAAATCCTGACCAATTCACAGATGAGATTTCAACATTATCTTTTGCATCCAAATCAACCGAAAAAGAAGGCTGCTACATCAAAAAATAGGTTACATTGGAGCAAAAACAAGACAAAAAGACCGCGCATATCCATAAAGAAAGGCGACATTAGAAAACACATTTACGTGTTAAGAAGAAGCAAACTCCCTAGCCAATAGTAGACTGAGAAGCTCGGCGGTGCCGTTTAAATTTATAAAACACTTTAAGCATTTTAATAGCTATACTTATTATAGAAATTTTAGCTCTTCGAACTAGAACTAATCCAATTAAAGTAATCCTTTCCCTAATCCCAAAAAAGAAAAGCTAAATTCGGCATAGAGGAACAAAATTACGAAATAACATCTAGCTCCAACCACCATATTCAAATAAAAAACCCCACTAAAACAAAAAACCATCAAAACCGAGCTTGGCTTCATCCACGGAGCTCAACATTTGTAAAAGGACAAAATAAAGATCCAGAAACACCAAACGTCTACTCCTTCACATTATTGGATTCGAGAAACAAAGACAGCACAGAACCTGTACAACACCAGGATTGCAGAAGATGAAGAAGAAATATCCAATCATGATACCGATCGGAATTCCGAAGCCAAATCCAATGATTCCAAGAATGGTGCCCACCAAACCCATCAGCTCTGAGCCACCAAAGCATCTAATCGATGAGAAGAGCAAGAACTGATCGAATCTGAGAAGAAAATGGAAGAATATGACGAACTTAGAAGACGGGAATGGATGTTTGATTCAACTGTAATCAGACGAAGAAAACCGCTAACGCTAGGCAAATTGACACGTTTCTCCTGAAGTTTTGTCAGAATTACGATTAAGCCCCTGTTACTTTCGCGATGGCGTGTCTTCTTCGGAGAGACAAATAATGGCTATAATTAATGTTTTGGGACTATTATAAACTTATGCATTAAATATAACTTATTGCAATTTTATATCATCAAGAGTTGATAGACATAAAAAGCATGGACAAAATAGTTAAAACTCAAAAAACATTCAACATAAAAGCTAAGGACAAAGTAGTTAAAAGTATGAGAGACACTCAACATAGAGGGTATGAAAGGCTTAAAACTTTAATATTTTATTATGAAGTGAAACATGATTTATTTATTTTTGTTTATAATGCTTTTTATTTAATACCTTTGAATATTGTGTTTAGTTCAAAATACTTTCCTCTGAAATTTAAGATGACCACGAAGATAGTAGAAACTCTGAAGATCGCCATCAGAAGCGAACATTAGTCGTTGCTAGAGGTATGTTTGAGCCTCTGCTATTGGCATGATTGGGTCCAATGTCGTTTCCATGAGTTTGAAGGGCTCCCTTTGGTCATTTTGAATAGTTTTATTTTCCAATGACACCCTCCACTATTGATCATTTGGGGCACTTTGATCATACATTGGGGCACCTTAGTTGTTGTAATGGTAATGTGAAGAAAAATAATGCCCATAGCCTAGATACTTTTTAAAATATTTTTACATGAGGTATAGAAAAAGTGTTATGAGTTGTGCCTTGGTTTAAAAAACATTTAGGTTTATGGATATTAATAAAGGGAACATTAATGCTAATGAGGAAACAATACAGAGGTGCTTGTAGATCTTATACAAATGGATGGCAAGACTTTAATAGTTAACGAGAAGTTGATAGATGTTTTAATACTTATACTTCTCCCAACCATTCCAATCTAAGTCCATCGTTTAATGATCTGCGGGATGGATGAGTCTCTCAATAGATCAAATAATAAATGTCCTTTGACAAATTGTCCAAGAAACTATGATGTTTGTGTCATTTTTCATTAGAGCAAGAATAGTGTCTTGTTGGTCTGTCATACAAGAATAGTGCCCCATTAGACTTTCATAAAAAAATAGTAACAAGATTAAATTTTCAAGGGTTGACCTATATTATAATGTACATACTTTTGCAAGTCGTATTGATTCAATACGTGTCATCTAAACTTTGACTTTATGATACTGACAATTTTAGGGCTTTATCCATGATTTGCTTATTCCATGCTCAGCCATTATCTCCATATTCTCCAACCAGCAAAATCCCCACAAAGCGTTCAGGTGGTACTTTTTTGAGGCTCGGAAGGAGCTAAGGCTGCCCCCATATGAAGTTGAGTTTGCCTGACGTTAAAAAATTAAGAAAAAGACGGTATGTTGAGATAATCACCTCAAGGGAGATATATCATTGCTGGTTGAATATGATTGTATGCCCTAATAGTGCATAAAGAATCATGAAGTTATATTTCATTATTTCTTTCCTTCCATCTCCAAGGATGATGTGTAATGAGATTCAAACTTAAGACTCTTTTAAAAGCTATATTTCATTATGCAGAACATTCAATAATTTTAAAAAATAATCTTAATTTTGAGAATATAGTTTAACTTATTAGATTTATTTGGAGACTTGATCAACTTATTTTGGCCATAAGTTTGCCAATCATCTAAATTTTCTCATTTTTTTCCTTTATGTGAATTAAGGTTTAACTTTGGATCATACAATGACAATCTAATGATGTTAGTTCTATAAAGCTGTTTGAGCAATGTTCCAAAATTAATTCTTAAGTAGAGTTCTGAGATTCTTCAACAATTTTGAGCTCTCTCCCAAATCAATTCCCTTTATGCAGTTTTTAAAATAACATTCTAGTTATTTCCACCAAAATTCTAAAGCATTCCATTGATCAACTAAGTCACAACAATGATCAAATAATATTTTTTGAATATTTGAGTACTTTGATTATGTCAGAATTTGAGCTATTTTAAGCCCATTGGATTAATTTTATTTAGATGTTTGATTTAATTATATGTTTGCTAGCTTTTAAAATCATTGGTCAATCACTTAATCTCCTAAAATTTTAACTATATTTCAAGTGTGCGACTTGGGTTCCTTTGAACTCAAATTGGATTACTTTGGTATTGATCCATTAATCTCATTGAGCCATTTAGTTTTACTATAAATTTATTAAAATTAGATATCAAATTATTTTAAAGTTAATTTTAAAAAGTTTCAACTCAAACATTGCTTGAACCTATAAAATTTCATAAAAGCAAGAAAAAGATTTAATAAAGTTAAGCTCATCTTATTATAAACATATTAAAATATGACACATAGTTAATAATGTATTAATTAGGATGAAATTTTAGCTTAATGCATCATAAGTCTTTAAATAACCCCTATTTAAAAAGAAAATGACGTGAAATGAATGAATAAAACCTTCCCTCTTTTATAACTCCCCTTTTATATAAAAAACGTTCAGAATACTGATTCACACCTAAGTAAAGTTCAAAATCAACCTAAGAGTAATCCCTCTTCTTTTGTTGAAGTTTTAGCAAAGTCTTCAAAGTAAAGATGATTGGAGATGTAAGCATAATCATATATGTGATAATAAGTAATATTACTCTTTATAAATTATTTTTTCATATGTCCACCCTTTGTCTTATTAAACTATTTTGTGTCCAATAATGAAGATTGTTTTATGACCTTGTTCTACTTCTTCTTCATTATATAAAGAGTTTAAATGACTATGATTGAATAGTTGTTAGGCATCATGATTGCATTGGAAGTCTAACTTTGAGAAGACATTATGAGAGGGAGAGTAGTGAACATACTTATTATCAGTTTAATAGTTAACAACATATATGTATATATGAATGAAGTCATTAGAATGTCACGTGCATTAGTGAGAAAAACATATACATACACACACACACACACACACAC